TTGTTACATTAGTAATGCTGACTTGAAGGACTGGCTAATAGTAGGAATTTATTAAATCACATATCTTACAAAATGGCACATATCGTGTTCCGGAACACTATTCATGGACTGACCACTATGGTGTCTCTCATGTGCCTAAGACAGGAGTCCCAAGTAGCCTAGCATATGATGTACCATTCACTGCTATTTGTACTGATTTCTATTATGAAAAATAAAAAAGTATCTGTGAACAAGATATGTAATCCCTTGATTGAAGCTACCTCTGCTACTACAGAGCCTGCATTTTGATACTTCTGTAAGATTCTGAAGGAGCCTGTCCTTCTGGTCAGATCTGATTTCAGAACCATGTATGGTAAAATAGCTGGTTCTCGTCTCCTTCCTCTTCTTTGTAATAAATCAACTGCTAGCCATTTTAAGATGACTGCACAGATTCCAGATTATCAAAGCAAACAGAGAGAACTATCTAGTACTCTGACAGTGACATAGTTTTGTTCACCCAATCCGATAGCAACCTCAGAAGGCCTTGTTTTGCYTGAAAAGAACTTCTTGATTCATTCTTCCCTCAACCAACTACCATCACAGAGCTACCACAACCTAGCAACACTTTAGCTGTGTTTTTTCTCCTGTAAGAGAAACCTGGGTTTGATGGGAAAAAATCCCTTTGCCAAAGCCAAAACAGTCCATATACAGGTGTTCCCCAGAATACAGATGATCCATATTTTACCACTCATCCAGTTTGGGAGTATAACTGGATTTTACCATGATGACAAAATCATCTCTCACTTGTGTGACGTAGAACAATCTCAGAGCTACAGTTTGGTGCAGCCTCCCCAGTACTGATCCTATTTTCAGGGTTGAATATTTTCAAATAAAGAACCAGCAGTGCTAACCACACTTTCAGAGTCATTTCTGTGGCTTTATTGACTCAGTCTTTCACCTAACTGGGAGATTGTTCATTCCCATTTGTTTCCTCCTTCTCCCACCTAGATGAACCATGTCTGGGGCATTCACCACTGACTCTTTTCATTCGCTGGCTTCTGCTAGTAAACTGTGCACTTCCTGTTAGGAGTCTAGGTAACCTTTTTGGCTGAAACCCTTGCTATCACCTGCCCCTGCCCTATAGGCCTCCCTTGTGGAACCCTGTTTCTATTCTTTACTGTTCTCGAACCCTATTTCCTTTCTAGAGTCCTGGCCCTCAAAGGACTGACCTCTTGTTCATTCTTTGTAATCTCATGCACCAGTGTCATGTCTTATCTCCTATCTGCCCCTCTTACCTATTCCATCCAAGTCACATGATTCCTTTTTTTTTTCTCTGAATGGTTTCAGCATGTAGACCAGCCATTTCCCCGAAAGACTCATGGCCTTTTCTCTTTTGAAATCATTTCACTTCTACATTACAACTCAGAGCTCTTTCCCAGGTGTCTCTCACATATATTCCTTTTTTTGGTAAGTGAATGTGTTTTAAACTTTCTTAAAAAAAGTTAAAAAACATACAAAATGTTTCACATTTTATTTACAAATCAATAAATTTTAAATGCATTATATTTGAATTCAAAATGCGTTTAAAACAACCTTAGAAAGAGGCAATATTTTATAGTAGTTGTGAATACAAAACCTGAATCTGACAAGGACTACTCTTGTGACATTAGGTAAAACACATAAGCTCCTCAGGTTTGTAATATCCTGTTTCATAAGGTTGTTATGAGAATAAAAGAGACACAAGTGCTTAGCAGTGCCTGACATACAATGTGTTCTCATAAACTGTAGCTCTCTGAGTTGTTAAGTCTAGTGCTTGTATTATGTGTTAAGCATGGATGCTGTAAACCTCAAAGAAAAATAAGATATGCTATAGAAATTTCTGGGGGCTGGGGATATGGCTCAAGTGGTAGCGCACTCGCCTGGCATGCGTGCGGCCCGGGTTCGATCCTCAACACCACATATAAAACAAAAGATGTTGTGTCCGCTGATAACTAAAAAATAAATATTAAAAAAATTCTCTCTCTCTCTCTCTCTCTCTCTCTCTCTCTCTCTTTAAAAAAAAAAAGAATTTTCTGTATAATGTCTTAAACATTTCAGAAATTGATTAAAACCTGTCCAAAGAGTGGCTATATGTTTTTCTTTATTGAGTTGATAGGTAAAATTCTCTATTTACCCTCCCCCATCTCTCTGCATGGTCATACACACACACACACACACACACACACACACATACACACACACCCCAGTGGTTTTGGTGGAAGGTCTTAAAATTTCTTTTGTGTTGACCATACTTATTATTATGTTTTGTACTTGAGTGAGGGTGATAGAGTTTAGCTGCAAGAAGCTGTCAAGATGTCATGTCCTAGCTCAGATGCTTAGTTCCCCAGGAAGAAGGAGGAGGGAAGTAAAAAGATTAGATGAGGGAGTGGGGAGAATAAGAAATACGTGTAGGGTCAGAATTTCTGTGGACAGATGGAGCATATCAGACTAGGGCAGGCTGCAGTTCCTAGGGAGGTAGCCTGGAAATTGCTGGGCAGCCTATCTGAGTTCAGTTTGTCATTAGACTTTAGTCACCATAAGAAGTGGTGATTAGATCTATGGAAGACAAATCAGGCTGAGGATGGGAAACAAGAGCATGCTTCTAACTCTATAGACCAGATCCAGTTGGGGAATAGAGTAAATTTAGGGTGCTATGACTTGCTATGATGGCCCTGACACCAGGAACAAGAGTAGGTGGTGGGGGGCAGTGATCCAGGATTCCAGAACTTTGCTTTGGTTTGCCCCAAGCACTTTTTCTGAAGAAAGCATTTGAAGTGTTCACCTTCTAATTATCCTTTAAAATATATGTGTGCATTTTATGCAGTTATCTGTCTATGCTAAGTAACCCACAGTAATAAAAGGAAGTATTTGGAGTTGTAACATTAGAAGAGAATTATGGACGTTGTTTATTATGTTTGTATTGATACTCCTGTTATGAGGCAGATCTGCTAGTAAGAATATCTCATAATATTCTAATTTTGTTTCTGTAAATTCTTCCTAAAGACTTATTGAAAATAAGAATTTTTTAAAAATACACTTTGTGAATCATACAAAAGTCTCAAGCACAAGGGTTTCTGTGATTAAACTCCTGCCTGTTGCCAGGAAAATACTTGAAGCAATTTAAATAAATAGAGTTCACATGAGTTTTGAAATTTATACCCCACACGTGCAAGGCCCTGAGTTCGATCCTCAGCATCACATAAAAATAAATAAATAAAATAAAGGTATTATGTCCAACTACAACTGGAAAATAGATATTTAAAAAAAAAAGGAAGGGAAGGGAAGGGGGAAAAAGGAAGGAAGGAAGGAAGGAAGGAAGGAAGGAAGGAAGGAAGGGAGGGAGGGAGGGAGGGAGGGAGAAATTTATGCCCCAAAGAGACTAAGCTTAAGCAGGTATATGTCTGTTAAAACTTTTTTTTTTTTTTTTTTTTTGGTGGGTACCAGGGATTGAACTCAGGGGCACTCAACCACTGAGCCATATCCCTAGCCAAATTTTGTATTTTTATTAGAGACAGGGTCCCACTGAGTTGCTTAGCACCTTGCTATTGCTGAGGCTGGCTTTAAACTTGCACTATCTCAGCATATCTCAGCCTCCCCAGCCACTGGTATTACAGGCGTGCACCACAGTACCCGGCTACAACATTTTTTTTTTCTCAAAATTTTAATTTGTCTTTTAAAAAGCAGCATACATATAAACCAAAATTCGATAAAAACACCATACTCTCATTATTAAGATTATGTTAACTGTTAACCCCTTAGTGTGTATCCTTCTAGCTATATAGACTTTTAAATTAAATGATAACAGAGCATATATATTTATTTTAATGTACTTTTTTAAAACAATTAATGGTTTTTTCAGTCACTAAATTCTTATCTCACTTAGAACTTAACTTTCAAATACCCACAAAAATATTTGGGCAATTCAGCATGCTTGTTCAAATTCAGGACCATCTGTTATATCAGGCTGTCTCTGAAGTGTTGATTAATCTAGAACAATCCCTTTGTTGACAACACTGACTTGAAGAGATGGGCCATGCCTATTGCAAAAGGCACCACTCTTGGGGTTTGTCTTGATGCTTTTCTATAGCGTTGTTCAGCATGTCGCTCCATTCCTGTATTTCCTCTGATGCCAGGTTAAACATCTTTGGTGACAATGCATTGTAGATGATGTGTGTCCCTGTGTTGCCTGCCTTGGTGTGATCACAGCCTGATCCCCCACATGCAGTTGTGTTTGTCCTCTTGCTAATAGGAAGTAATCTATGTGTTGGCATCACATGAGCATTCAGGTCCTCATCAACGATTCTCCTGCTGATTTTAGCAGTAAACAGCAGTCCTTAACTGAAGAAATAATTACAGTAGGGATATGATATTATATTTTCTGAATCTGTAATTTCTTTTACATTTGTTAGCCAACATTTTTTGTGAAGAAGAGATTTCCTTTGCATAGTGGGACTATTAGATTATCTGAAATACCTTTTCTTTAATTGCAGGTTTTCAAAGTACAGCTTTAACAGCTGACTCAGCTGAGATGTTGGAAAAATTTAAGCATTCTTTTTAAAAATCCTCTGGTCACTGCAAATATGATTTCTTGAGCATTTCCAGTGTATCAGGGACTGTGTTAAAGGCTTTATGTAATCTAATTCTTCTGACAAGATAATGAGGTTTTAGAGAAAGACAACAGAAACTCTTGAGCAGTTAAGTAACTTGATAAGGTCTCTCACATTGGAAATGACAGCACTAGGATTTAAATTCAGATGGATCTGAGTCCATAATTTGTACTTAATTCTTTTTACACATTTTTGTTGCATTTTACTTAAAAGCCAAATTCTGCTTATAATGTTTTTTGGAATATTTCATTGTTCATAAATGGGTAGGAATGGAAATTTTGCTCAATAATTCTTAATGAAGTCTCTTTCCTCTCTCTCTCTCTCTCTCTCTCTCTCTCTCTCTCTCTCTCTTTTTTTGTTTAAATATTTTAACAGTGTGAAGAAAACACAAACCTTCAGGATACTACCCGCTACCTCAAGCTTCCGTTTTCCAAGGGCATTTTCCTTGGGAATAATAATCAAGCCATGAAGGCAACAAAAGAGTCTTTTTGGATAACATCTTTTCTCTGTTCCACAAAACTCACACAAAATGGTAATGTATGATACAGTGTTATTTGAAAGCCTTTGTACCTAAGTGCATGTATGAATTTTGGTAAGAATATTCAGCATGTACTACAGTTACATTTAAGAACTTTGCACTAGAAAAATTGTTGATCTGTTTAGAATTTCCAATAAAATGGATACAGGGGTGACCCAATGATCTGTTGAATACGTGACATTTAAGGATTTCAAAATTATCTCGGTGTTGAAAATCAAGTACACAACTCCTCAAACAAATCATTAAAACCGAGCTGCATTTTTAAAAGAGACCAAAAAAAATACCACCACCTTAATGTCTTGTTTTATAGCTCCATGAAGAGTGCTAATTGTAGGCTTTAGAATAAAGCCTGTTTTTTGTTTAATTAGATGGATATTGCTTTTCTGCTCTGGCATTACTTTTTATGTCAGTGATTGTTTAGCAAGTTATGATTAATAAAGCAAGCTTTTCTCCTTGGCAAATTGTTATGAAAACATCGTCTATAATGAAAGAAGTAAATTAAACATTTTTTTTTCAGTTTTTCATGGTTGCCATATAAGGCTCTTAGCTCGTACCCTGAATGCTATATTAATAAGTTAGATTCATTATACTGAGGAGAATCACTTCATAATAAGGTATTGTGTCTCATAGAACACCACTGTGCCTGAACATTTGTTAGGTGTTATTACTTCTGTCTGTGGTGTCATGGATCATCCTTTGTAGAAGGAAGCATAGTTCTTCTCTTAGAACATAGTATCAGGAAAGAAGCAAAATATAGTAGTATATTGACCACTTTTTAAAATGCCACTCAATTTCAGCATGCATTTTGATAAGACATCAAGTTAAGTTGTCCTAGACTTCATCAGTATTTAGTGGTAAATGATGTTTACTTAAATAAAACCTCCATTGAGGAACAGGGTAGGCATGTGAAAAATGGAGGAACTTTGGGAAAAGGGGAGGGAGAACAGGAAGTGGGTATGGGGGCAGGAAAGACGGTGGAATGAGATGGACATCATTACCCTAGGTACATGTAGGACTGTACATATGGTATGATGCTACAATGTGTACAACCATAGAAATGTAAAATTGTGCTGCAGTTGTGCACAATGATACAAAATGCAAATCCTGCTGTCATATCCCCCAATTAAAGTAAATAAATAAACATCCATTGACAAAACTCAGCGATTAAAAGGCATTAAGTAAACCTCAGGTATTTGTTATGGGACCAATCTACTCCTGTGGAGGTTATATAGATGACAAAATCAACCTGTTGCTTTCTCTCTTAGACAAAATTTATGTTCATCCTACATGGATTAGGATGAATATAAAAAAATTCATCCTAATGAATAAAAAAAAATTGTATTTATCCTACATGTTGTAGAGCTCATATTCACATATAACTAAACATCCCTAGTAAAACATTTTAGGACCACGTTAGTTAACCTTTCCATTGCTGCTATAACAATTGCCACAAACCTGTTGGCTTAGAACAACACAAATATATCACCCTACAGTTTTAGAGATCAGGTATCTAAAATCAGTTTTACTAAGCTAAAATTTGGACACCATAGAGGAGAATACTTTTTCTTACCTTTTCTAGCTTCCAGAGGCTGCCTGCATTTATTAGCTCTTGGGCCTTCCCCCATCTTCTAAAGCCAGTAGTGGCATCTTCAAATTTCTCTCTTACCCTCTTCCATGTTTATAGGACCCTGGTGATTACATTTGACCAGAAAATCCAATATAATTTCCCTATTATAAGACTTTTAATCACATCTGTAAAGTCTCTCTTGCTCTGTAAGGTAAACAGTCAAATTTCTAGGAATTCGGATATGGATATCTTTGGGGGGGAGCATTATTCTGCCCTCCATACAGATAAACCTAACAGTAGAGTCACTGACATCAAAATATTTGGCCTTGCATCCTGAATTTGTTCTAGTTCAAGGATTTAGGATGTTAGGCAGAATTATGAACATAAGAAAGGGAGAACCAAGTGCTAAAAATTAGAAGTTGCTCCTTTACAAAAGAAGAAAACATTTCCAGGTAAATTTAGAAAATAAACTATTCATGAAACCATTCTATTAAACAGCTCACTATACAGAAGCTGGATCAGAATTCCATGCAATGTCTGGCTCATTTTTGGAGGCTGATTATCATTTTGACTTTGATTAACCTTGTCAATGTAAGACAGCTCAAAATGAGCCAGGAAATGAATAGCATGCTTTAAGAGATGAGAAGGGAGAAGGAAGTCAGTTGATCTTTCTAAAATTTACATGCTGGACACACATCTCTGTGTAGAAGTAATCCAGTTCCAAATTGGAATTAAATTGATACGTATTCATTTTGCTTCACTCAAAAAAATATACACATCACATTTCTACTACAGTTGGACATTTAACAAGTGATTCAGTCCCTAGAAGCATTTTCTTAGAGCAGATTTGCATTTCAGAATTCATTAAGGTCTATCTGCACTCTCTGTGTATTACCCAGTATTGTGCATGGATAATGTGCCAAGGCCAGGACATTGTGCTGGAAATCAGTGATTGCCAGAAGTAGAGATTTTAAGCAGGAGTGGGGTCATGTCATCCTCATATTTTATAGCTCTTATAGTATACTTAGTAAATGCTTCTTAAATGGAATATATGAAATCCATATTTTCAGATCATTGTTTCTCATGTGTAGCTAACTTATCTTCATATGATTAAAACAGACCTAGGAGGTGACAGTTTGCCTCAACTTTGAGTACTTGAATACACAATTGTGTTCATGTAGATATAACTGCTGTGTGCTTTCATGTGCTCCTTTAAGAGCAGTCCCAATGGGATTGTCTGAACCACTATAGTTGGTTGTCAAGCTCTGTTCATGAGGCTCCTGATCCTCAGTGATTAGAAGGCATTAAATAAACCTCAGTTTTACTGCCTCTGGGGATGCCACTGTATGACCAGCAGAGCCACCTCCTTGCATTGGACAGAGCCCTGAACTACACAGCAACTGCTTCACTTGAAGGGGAAGGGAAAGAGAGCCAGGGGAAGGAGTGAGAGTGGGATGGGATGGGGTGGGAAGTAAGGAGTGAATGGCTGGGGAAATGTAATAGGAGTTTTTAAAAAGAAGATATTAGGAATGGGAGGCATCCTGAAATTAAATGGGAGAAGAAGAAAGGAGGAAGAAGAAAGAAGCAAACTAGGAGAATAATAGAGCCCTGTCTCTGTAATTCATTGTGGGTCTCACTGTGGAACTATCTGATATTCTAAATAAAGCCAATCCATTTTTAAAAGGTTTCAATAATATCCTCAGGATATCTGAGTTAGAAAGTAATATTTAACATTTCCATGATTTTTTTGGTTAGAAGACATCATAAATCTATTTCAAAATTGGTATTTCAAATATTTCTTCTTTTTCCTATTTTAAATCATTCTTCTCCTTTTCACAGTTGTAGATACACATTCCTATTTAGTACAGGTTGAGTATTCCTTGTCTGATATGCTTGGGACTAGAATTATTTCAGATATTAGGATTTTTTTATATTATAAAATATTTACATATGCATAAGATATCTTGGGGATGAGACCCAAGTCCAAACATAGAATTTATTTAAGTTTCATATACACCTTATATACATAAGCTAATGCTAATTATAGACAATATTTTTAATGGTCCAGCATTTTGGCTATGATCTATCACAGGAAGTCACAACTTAACTGACCCACAACTTAAGTGGATTTCCACTTATGGCATCATGTTGGTGCTAAAAAAGTTTTGAATTTTGTAGTATTTTGGGATTTTGAATTTTCAGATTAGAGATGCTCCACTTGTAGTAAACTTCTTACTAAAATCTTTTATGAAGATTATCTCTCATCTGTCTTTGGTGAAATTGCTTCCCTTTCCTGTTAAGATTCTTGTGCTTTTTCACATTTCTGTTCAATCTGTATTTTCCTTCTCAACGACTTTCTTGATTTTTGTGAGGTTTAGGATGTTTTGATTCGTTATTAGTCTTTTTGTCTCTCAGCAAGTCCCATTTGGGTTTCTTCTGAAACAAGTGCTTTGAAGTGAATTTCTCACTGTTCCACCTGGAAAATCCCTCCAGGCTTCTCTCTCTACCCTGCTGAGCCTGGAAGCCATCCCTGCTGGGCTTGCAGGGCTCAGGGCCCACAGGTAGTTTCAGAAGGGAAGGCAGTTGTAGAGGAGGGCACTGTGCTTACCCAGAATCCAGGGCAGAAGATAGCCTCTGAAATCTAGGAACTGGCACTCTCATGTCTGAGAACACTGGGCTTGTCATTATTGTGCAGTGACCTTTAAGTCCTGCAGGGTTTGGGTCACTTTGTCCATCAAGAAGACCTTTGATCTAGGCAAAGTTGGGTGCTAAGCGGAGTATTCATGTTTGGAGGTACAAAGGTAAATAAAGGAGGTTCTCAGCCCCCAAGAAATTCTCATCTTACTAGGAAGAGGCACAAATTATTCAACAAACATTTGTCAGTCAGATACCTACTCTCTTCTTGCTATTGGGAGTACCATAGGGCCAAGCTTAGCTCTATTTTATATTGATGTTTATGGTCAGTTTGGGGCATTAACAAACAACTGTGATGGTAAGACAGGAGTTACTGTTAGGTGGAGCACATAGAAGAGATGATTAGCTAGGGATCCCAGAAAAGGATTCTTGGATGAAGCAGCATCCAACCTGAAAACTAAAGGGTTAAGTAGGAGCAGGGAGGAATAATTAGAATACACTGAAATAAATGCTATCCTGGAGATGCCTGCAACTTAAATGGCCAGGAGGGGCATTTAAATGGCCAGGAGGGGCATTTAACTTAAATGGCAGGAGTTCTTGTGTTTAAGAACTCAACTTTTATCACTATTCTCTATAAAGGCAATTAATCTTCCTTTTGTATTTGAAAAGGTGATATGCTTGATCTTTTGAAATGGAGAACCCATCCAGACAAGATCACAGGCTGTCTCTCCAAATTAAAAGAAATCGATGGCTCAGAGATAGTAAAGGTACATGTTATTTCATTACCCATCTTGGAAACTTACAGAATAAAGAACATTTGGAGGGGAAGCACAAATAGTATTTTATTCATTCATTTACTACTTCTTTATCCAACAGTTTCTGCAAGATACACTGGATACCCTATTTGGAATTTTAGATGAAAATTCCCAGAAATATGGGTCTAAAGTGTTTGATTCTTTGGTAAGTTCAGATTCACTCAATTATGTTGTAATGATTATCTCTCTCAATCTTGACTTTCATGAGGCTGTTTTAGAGATATGCAGTTGATAATGTGTTTATTTTTAACGGAACAAAAAAAAATCTCAATCTGCATTTGGTTTTAAAAAGCTCAATTTTTTTTTTTTTTAGGTTCACATAATAAATTTGCTGCAAGATAGCAAATTTCACCACTTTAAGCCTGTAATGGACACTTACATTGAGAGTCATTTTGCTGGGGCCCTTGCGTACAGGTAAAGCCATTTATCTTGTAATTCGTTTAGAAGCAGTTCCTTTTGAGCTTGTCTAAGCAGAAGCAGCTGTATAGGAACATTTAAAGGGGGTGCAGGAAGAAATGAAGCACAGCATCTGAARTGCCTCTTGAGACAATATCTTTCTTCCTCACACATGGCTAGGACTGATTTTGGTTGAAAACAGGAAAAAAAAAAAACAACAACAACAACTTCCTGAATTCTATCTCTGAGACCTAAAATATAAAGTATTTTCTTCTTGTCTCTGTTTAACTTGATGTTCTTTAGTCAAAAATGTCTGGTTATTTCATTTCAAGGCTTCATTTAATTACCGTATTCCCTGATGATTATGTATATCTTTTTTTTTTTTTTTTTGGTACTAGGATTGAATCCAGGGTCACTTAACCCTTGAGACACATACCCAGCCCTTTTTATTTTTTATTTAGAGACAGGGTGTCCCTAAATCCAGGGCCTTGCTAGTTTGGTGAAGTTGGTATTGAACTTGTGATCTTCCTGCCTCAGCCTCCTGAGTTGCTGGGATTACAGGTATGCATCACTGCCCCTGAAGATTATCTTGAAGAAAGAGATACGGAGAGGAAAACAATCTTTGCCTTGGTACCTGCTTGAAAGCATTCATTCATTCAGTTGTTAATATCTACTGAGCACCTACTTCATACTAGAGCTTTTATTTTGTTCTGATAATGTGAAGACTTGGTCTCTGGCCTCAAGTCATTTAGTTTCTGGAATCTACCCTTTGATGGCTGCTGCCATTTTAACTGTTCCTCATTTCCCACCAACTTGGATGATGCAAGTAAGGCTTAGAGTGAATGAATAGTGCTTAGCTGGTGCCTTCTCCCAGGCAGCTTAGTTGACAATTGCCAGAAGGCAACTCTTCTCTCTTTCAATCCTATAAATAACACCTTTCTAGTTTTGGGCCCTGTTTAAATATAATCCTGAAGTTCTGTTTCCTCACTCCAGTGCTGTCATTGCTTTGCTGTCCACATTTCTACCTTAAACCTTCAGCACCTGTGGGCACGTACATACACAATTCACCAGTTCCCAGAGGTGAGCTCAAAGATCCTGGGAGCAGATTTTTACCTGCCTCCCAATCTAAGTGACATATAAAGGTAGTAAGTAATCACATAAGTATTTGATCAGCTTGAGTATTTCTGACAATGACATATTTTACTTAAAGTAGGTCTCCAAAATTTTAGTAAACTAAGATATTTTTGTAAGACTTTACCCTCTATCAGGGTGATTTACTACTAAGGTGAAATGTAACAACAGGAACAGTTTTGAAATGTTGGCCTGCTCAACCTAACAATTTGGATCCCAGTATGAGGAGGTCAGTGCTTCTCACTGAAATTGTCATTGGAAGATAGAAGACAAGAGTATAATTTCTAATATTTCAAGTTGGCCAGAAAAGCAAGATAACCAGTCCTAACGAGACAGAGAAGGCCTGTGCAATCTTCTCAAGCTGTAGGTGGTTGGGAATTTGCTGACATCTTTAAAATAGAACTTCCTGCAGCATCTCCCTCCTAGCATGTCCGGATATTCTTTTCTGACCAATACAAAAATTCCTGTGTGATCTTTTCTCTAAAATTGCAACAAAGGTTAAAAAGGAAGCTGTTGCCCCTCCCAGAACAAAGCCAAAAGAAAGGCTTTGAAGGCCAAGAAGGTAGTGCTAAAAGGCATCCACAGCCACAATAAAAGAAAAGACCCACACATTACCCACCTCCTACAGCCCAAGACACTGTAGCTCCAGAGGCAGCCCACGTACCTTCAAAAGAGTGTCCCCAAAAGAAACATGCTTGACCATGCTGGCATCATGGAGTTCTCCCTGACCACTGAGTTGGCTATGAGGAAGATACAAGACACATACCTGTGTTCATTATGGAAGTCAAGGCTGAAAAGCACCAACTGATTGTGAAGTGGCTCTCTGGCATTAATGTGATCAAGGTCAATATCCCATCAGTCCTAATGGAGTTCAGAAAAAAGGCATATTTTCAAGAGGCTCTTGATTACGATGCTTTGAATATTTCCAGCAAAATTAGGATTATCTAAACGAATCCAGCTAGCAAACTCTTAGTATACATTTTTTTTATCATAAAAAAATGGTTGTGTGAATTGTTTCAAGAAATTAAGAACTGACCAAAGTTGAATGTGGCAAGAATGTAATCTTAAGTGTCCTAGGTTGTTGATTTCCTTTTTAAATTTTTTGTTTCTTTTTTTAAAAAAAAATTTATTTGTTTTAATTAGTTATACATGACAGTAGAATGCACTTATATACTTTCATATATCATACATAGAAGGGTTATAATTTCTCATTTTTCTGATTATACATATGGTAGAATCACTTGGTCATACAGTCACATACATACATAAAGTAATAATGTCTGTTTCATTCTACTATCTTTCTTATCAACATACTTTATATACAAACAGAGATACAAAAATTATGTTATATATGTGTATTAAGAATTGTAATATGGGCTGGGGATGTGGCTCAAGCGGTAGTGCGTTCGCCTGGCATGCGTGCGGCCCGGGTTCGATCCTCAGCACCACATACAAACAAAGATGTTGTGTCTGCCGAAAACTAAAAAAAAAATAAAATAAATATTAAAAAATTCTCTCTCTCTCTCTTTAAAAAAAAAAAAGAATTGTAATACAAAAAAAAAAATAGCGTTACCTTAGATTAGGTAGAGGGAAGTGAAAGGAGGGGAAGGCAGGGGATGTGGGAATAAGAAATTTTTTGTTTCTTAAAGCTAAATCTACTTTGCTCCTCTAGAAACGTTTTCTAAGATGCACTTTGGCAATAAGACTTATTATTTTTTTCATGACATGAGAAATCCATGGGGGTGTAGCTTAGAGTTTCAGGTATTGCTTTTACTCCCTTTTGCCTGCAGCTGAAAGGTAATGCATCTATCTGCTCATGTGATCAGTGGGGAAGAAATCCCAGCTAGCAGTTGTTCAGGGTTGACTACAAGATCCCTACTTCCAGCCACTTGCTTGGCCAGAATCCTTTTCTCCAGTATTTGTGTTCACTCCTTTGAGAGAGCATTGCCAGAAATAGGGTGGGCAATGGAATATGTTCAGATTAAGGGGAATTTCAAGGGGCGACAGCACATTTTCTCTCTTTAGCTTCAAAAAGGGGTAGTGACATTGATCTACAGGCTTAGTAAAATATTATATAGCAAATTGACAGAAAACTATGAACCTCACAGGGAAAGAAGATTCCTCATGATGCACATATCAGGTTTATTGGCATTTCATTGAAAGTTCAACCAACTCTACTTTGTGCACATTTCTCCCTGTATTTTAGAGATCTCATCAAAGTTCTCAAGTGGTATGTGGACAGGATAACAGAAGCAGAGCGGCAAGAGCATATCCAGGAGGTGCTGAAGGTAATAGCATGCTGTTGAAAACAGATAACATATTCTAACAAAGCTGTGGCACTGTGATGCTTAAACTAATTGGTCTCCTCTACACAGACAGTAATTGGTGATGATATGCTACTGACATTCCAATTCAAGGATCTTAATCAGCTTATGCTGCTCCAGAGCTGATGAAATTCAAAAGGGACTTTGCCAGGCTTGTCCACTGGAACCTGCTCAGGATTGAATCCTTGCCTCTCTGGCCTCCTGGAAACTTGAAGTCAAATTCCTGAGTGTCAGGGGGAAAGGGCCTATGAAAGAAGACTGCACATGAGCAGTTAAGCTTAGAAGTTCCTGGCTCTTGTTTCTATCTACCTGACAGAGACCATCTGAGAATCATGCATCTTAAATTTTAAGAGAGAATAGGGTTGTTGAGGAAGGATCACAATAAGGAACCCGAGGCTTTACTGGGTCTCATGTTTGATGCTGTTCCTGTCTCTGGGCCTTATATGTTCCTTTGTATTTGGAGATACTAATATCTGATTCATGATCAAGGACAATACAAATTCTCAGTGGTCTAGGCCCCGCCCTGGTAGTCTTCTGTTGAGTATCATCTTATGTATTACAGGTAAAGTATTCATTTTTTGAAACAAGCATTGTAATCATTATGAATTTTTCATTTTGGTCTGCTTGAAGGTAAAATGCCAAGTGACAAGAGTACCTACCAAAGCAAAATCACTTTTTTTTGTTATCAGGAATTGAACCCAGGGCTGCTTTACCCCTGAACCACATCCCCAGCCCTTTTTATTTTTATTTTGAGACAGGGTCTAAGTTGCTTAGGGCCTCACTAAGTTCCAAAATCACTTTTGAAAATCAGGTATCTCTTCATGGACCAAATCTAAAAAGCCATCTGAGGATCAAAAATATTCAGCATTCATGAATTCAGCATTCGTTCAGAATTACAAAACATTTTAAATTTTCTGTACATTTATTAGGCATTAGGAAAAAATGGCTCTTACCCCTTCAAGTAAATACATTTAAAAATCTCACAGGACCTTGGTGTTTAAATCAGTAGTTGAAAAGTCTAATACTGTACCATGCTTTTTATGCTGTGTCATGGTTACATAAATACTCTTGCTCTCCTTTGAAGCTAACTTTTTAAACTTTTCCTTTTCAGGCACAAGAATACATTTTTAAATACATAGTTCAATCCCGAAGGCTCTTTTCCCTTGCCACTGGTGGGCAAAATGAAGAGGAATTCCGCTGCTGCATTCAGGAGCTCCTTATGTCCGTCCGTTTCTTTCTTTCACAAGAGAGCAAAGGATCTGGAGCATTATCTCAGTCACAGGTAATTTGTTTCCATCTCTGCTGAATGGAGGAAAACTGTGAATGTGATCTGGGTTTTCTTTTTTTTTTGTTTTGTCGTTGTTGTTGTTTTACACAGCAGCATAACTGAAATTCCCCACCAGAAATCCACAGCTCCACACTTCATATTTGTAGTCTGATCATCATTGTGAATAGACTTAAGCATCCCCAGCTCTGAGCACCAGCTTTCCCTAGATTGCCTTTCCCAGCCCTTCCCTCTGCTTAGAGGGGCTGTTGGTTGCCTGCTCCTTGTTTCAGTTACCAGGATGCATCCTGCTGGTCAGGCACATCATCATCAGCCTCAGGGGAGGAATTGTAAGAGAGCCAATCTAGTGCAGTTCTTTCCCCCAAGCCTGGTACTGCATTTTCATCTATTGAGAATCATTAGACTTCACTAAACTGCATGTTGTTTTGTTTTGTTTTATTTAACTTGACTGTAATCATCCTGGGACTGATCGTGTAAGACCAGAGCTGAGTTCATGCTGCCAGGTTCTCTTACCAGGTGTAGCCTAACATATTGCTTTTTGTTTTTTGTTTTAGAACAGGATCCAACTACTTTCCAAATAGCATGGCCTTGTACGTGTTTCAAGAGATAATTCTGAATATCTTTCTCTATTCTTTCTCAATCCTTCTTATGTACTTCTAATTCTAATGACTTGGTTTCAAATCTGTCAGAAGAAGCAGGCTCTGTTCATACTCTTGAGACCAGAGACTTTTAATCCTTGAGCACATATCAAGGGAGATGAGATCAAACTAGATCCTTAATGGTTTTGACACAATTTGGTGACATGGGGCATTTGGAAGGCATAGTATATGATAGCAAAAACAGCAGAAGTGTACCAGTCCTGTGATAATAGAGCTGTGCTTTTTCTGACTGTTTATTGCTATTCTTGTCACATTCTCTTCTGTACAGTGATGGACTCATCTTCCATCTGGGCAAGGATACAACACAGGCTTTTTTAAATGTCATCTTGGCCTCTCTAGTCAACAGCACAATCACTGCACTTCAGGAACTTGCCAGAGACCTCAATATCAAATGTCCAGTAGCCAAACCCTACTTGAAGTAGTCGATATTTGAGAAGCATAATCCAGCAGGCTAACCACATGTTCCCATCATGTTTCCGTTTCTACAAAAGCTATTCGTAACTTGAGTTTTCATCCTAAGATTTCTCTTTACTGGTTTCAGAGACAAAGTTTGCCTAATTTGAACCTGAAAAATATTTTCTTACTCTTAAGAGTAACCTTAATTCATGGGTTCTCACTTCCTAGACATTCTAGAGATTTCTAACCCTCTTTAAAGCTATAGAAATATTTCTTTACCTTAGTTGTATTTCTATTGAACCCTAACCATCCCCATAAGGTGACTCCGGCCACTATGGTACTGCAGGGAGAGTAGTTCTGCTTTTATTTTTGTAACACACTGACTTCTATTGCTCTTGGTTATTGACATTCTATCCACGACCAAGTTTGAGAAACAACTTTGGCACCTTTCAATAATCGTATTTGAACTGTGCTCGATGATACATGCCTGTAATCCCAGCAACTCAGGAGGTTGAAGCAGGAGGCTCACGAGTTCAAAGCCAGCCTCAGCAGCTTAGTGAGACACTACCTCTAATAATATATTTTTAAAAGGGCTGAGGATGTGGCTCAGTAGTTAAGTGCCCTGGGTTCAATCCCTGTTACCAAATAAATAAATAAATATATAATCATATTTGATTTTTTCCCTTAACTGCCTGATAAGACATAAAGCCAACTCCCAAAACATAATCCTATTTGATTTTTTTCCTAATCAAGAGATAATATACAAAATATGTGCAAGGCTTCTGAATATCTTTATCAATTTTTCTGAAGTCATTCTTTATTGTTTTGTACAGTATCCTTTACCCCTAAATTTTGATGTAATAATTTTCTTTTTAGTTTGATGCTAAGAAAAAGCTCATATAAAATGATAGATTGGTGAGGGGTTTTTTAAAAATATTTTTTAGTTGTCAATGGACCTTTATTTTATTTATTCATATGTGGTGCTGAGAATCTAATCCAGTACCTCACACATGCTAGGCCAGCACTCTACCACTGAGCCACCACCCCAACACCCTAGAGTGGTGAGTTTTTTAATGAGTGCATGGCCCTCTATATTTTGGGAGGAAGGGGAAGGCCATACTTCTTTCTATATCAGGTTTCCTTGTGATCTCACACCTTTCTTCACAAAAGCAGGGTGTCACTCATCTGATTGATTCAGTGTGACCCTTTTCTGTTGTTGAATAACAAATGACCACAGCTTAATGACTTTAATTAATGCTCTTTTATGGGGTCACAATTTTGAAGATTGGATGTCTGCGCAGAGTTCATTGAATTCTTTGCTGAAGGTCTCCCAAAGCTAAAATCAAGGAATTGGCTTTGATGTCTTATCTGGCAGCTTAGGAAAAGAATATGCTCTCAGGATTTTTTTAGGCTTTTGGCAGAAGTCTTTCCTTGTGTTTGCAAGATTGAGGTCTGCTTCCCTTGATGGCTGTGAGCTGGGGCATGGGAGATACTCTTGGCTTCTAGAACCACTGGCATTCTTCAGCATGTGCCTTCTCCATCTTCAAAGCCAGCAAACATATGCTGAATCCTTCTCATGCTTTGAATCTGTCTGATTGCTTCTGCTACCAGCCAGAGTAAACTCTGTTTTAAAGGTTTGTGATTAGGAGAGGTACATGTATATAATCGATATTTTAAGGCCAACTGATTAGTAACCTTCATTACATCTGCAAAATCCCATTTGCCTTATAGCATAATATAATTGTAAGAACAGTGGGAACAAAGGTCATTGGGGGTCTTCTTTGAATTCTCTCTACTACATCCAGAACCAAGGATATTCGTGGCCTTGGCTTTTCTATCAGGCTGCCTTGAAGGGAGAAATCCAGATTTCTTGATCAGTTTTGCATTTCTTCCATGGCTACAACTCAGGGGAAAGCCTACTCCTTTGAGACAGAGGAGCCATCCCAGCAATCTCTCAGATTGGATCAGTGGACAGCAGCCCCACATCTGTCTGTTATGGTCCTAGTAAGGAAGTTCATTTAATGTCATGGCCACAGCCCAGCTCTGCAATGGCACTTTCCTGGGTACCTCTGCCTTGGGCAGTACTAAGGGCCAGTTCACTGGAATAGCAATGGTTTTTGGTTTCCCATTCCACAGACAGACCCCTGCTCCAGGATCCCCTGGAAAAGAAAAGGAATGACAGAAGGTTTAAAGGCCCAAGATATTGCTGTAAATTCCTGCTGATTATTTTTCCCTATTTGTCTTGGCCACCAGGAAGATCAAAACTAAATTGTACTTTTATTTTTATTTTCAGTAAAAACTCTTAGCTTGCCCTAGTACTTCTTTCTGTCCTTGTCATACAATCTTTGTTTCTTTATTCTTTTTAATAGTCTTATTACATATGTATCAGGTACTTTTTTAAAGTAAAAAAGATGTAAATAAAGAATTAAGGGATACATTAAAGGGTACATGAAGAAAATCAACTTATTTGACGTTTTAGTAATCCAAAAACTAGGCTCATTTTATTTCATTTCACTTGTATTTTTACTTCATTCATATGACTCAGCTCTTTGCAGAGTACATTGAAAGTTATATAAATATAGTCTTTAACAGAGATTACCAAGTTATTGACTTTAAGTAAGAAGTAAATTATAATTTTTAAGAGTCAAGAGCATAATCATTAGCTCTTTGAATTTGAATCATCAGCACATGTAGACAGCACTCAGTTTCCATGGCGTCATGGCGTTGACTTTCCCTGGCTGGGCAGCCAGTGAGCTCTGTAGGCTCAACATAGTGGAAACCTGTACCCGCTTCCCTCAGTGACTGCAATTGAGGCTGATTGACAGCTCCTTCCATTGCCCTCTGTTTATGGAATTTATAAGAGCTGAGTTTGTTTTGATGTTCAGTTATAGCCCGATTTTTTAAGTTATGTCTCTCAGGAGTTGACATTGGCATCCATTTTTTCCCATATAAAATGATCATAAGCTTCCTTTATTGACCAAAAAAATAATTGTTCTTAGTCTTTACATACACTTTTTGGTTTATAATAGATCATGAAGTGATGCAAGATATTGTTCAATGATCTTTTTTGTTTTAAAAGTGGTAAAACTAAAATGACTTTCCAAAGTCACAGTGTTGATTAGAAAACAAGTTAGTACTTTTTTAACCTGAKCTTTCTGCCCTGCCCTGTGTTTTCTCTTAAATCATAAATTGAATGTTTTAGGGAATCGATATGTTCAGCCTCTTGGAGATAAATGAGATTAAAATGACCATTTCAGAAAGCTTTGCCAAAACAGAATGAAATCCAAGTGACTGCAATCCAGGTCTTAGTAATGCATTCATTCTCTTCTGATTCTCTTTTACTGATTCGGGGCGGGGGGGGTTGCCAATCATTTTGCTAATGTGATTTTTAGATTCTCTTAGTTTTTATTATGTTGTTTCTTTGCATATTCCTGAAAACTTTCTTCTGTCACAGATCTTTTCAGATTTTTGCCTTTTTAGTTTTGGTAACAGAAATATTTTGTATTCACGTTTCTTCCATTTTAAAATACTGTCACAATTCTCATGATTTATCAGGAAATTGATTTAAATTTCTCTTCTCTTCAAGGCTGTGTTTCTGAGTTCCTTCCCGGCAGTGTACTCAGAGCTGCTGAAGCTCTTCGATGTTCGGGAAGTGGCCAACTTGGTGCAGGACACCCTGGGTAGCCTGCCCACCATCATGCACGTGGATGATTCCCTGCAGGCCATTAAGCTGCAGTGCATTGGCAAAACTGTGGAAAGCCAGCTTTATACCAATCCAGGTAGGCTGAGTTCCAGATAAAATTATGTCTCCAGAAGACCATTATATACCTAGTTTGTGGTCAGCAGAAAATGTTTTTTAAAAAATTRAAAATCACTTTCTCAAAACATTGTAATTTGTATGGCAAATTTATTTAGTGGTCAAATATAAAAGCATGACTTATAAAAGATTATTTCTAGAAAGAATGAACGAGACACAGTGGTGTATGCCTATAGTCCCAGATACTCAGGAGGTTGTGAGTAGAGGATCACCTAAGCCCCAGAGTTGAGACCAGCCTTGGCAACAACAGCAAGATCCTGTCTCAAAAAAAAAAAAAAAAAAAGGGAAGAAAGAATGAAAACTAATGGTTAAATGTTTTGTTCTAATCATAACTACTTGTAATGTAACGTGATTTTTTTGGAACATTTTTTTTCTAGATTGTTTTTAATGTCAATAAAAATGTAACATTTCCTTCAGAGGTTCTCATAAGCACCCATGTGATCCTTGTTTTATCTCTTGTTTTTCATAGTTTTCAATTGATTTTTGTCCTGACTAAAACTATATGGAAGTTTTATGTGCTGTCATTTTTTATTTTATCTCAATAGCAACTAATGTTACTAAATTGTTTTGTCATAATTTCTGTTACATAATCCCATTGCTTCTTGTTTTCTTCTTATTTTTTCCTAAAGTAAATAAGAGTAAATTCCCACTTCGTGTTACTTTACTTAAAGAAGTTTTCATCAGTTTCATTAAGTAAAAAATCTTTTTATAGATTCTAAGAATCATTTCTCCTTATGAATACATATATGTATGCATACATAATTCTTTTGAAATAGGATTTCCAATATACTAAACAAAGAAACTTTTTTACATTATTTTATCATAAAATGTAATGAACTGACAAACAAGAATAGAGCACAATATGAATAAATCATAAAATATCTTAACGTCAGATATCTGATTTAGGACTTTTATCAAGAAACTTATCAGAGGCTGGGGTTATGGCTCAGTGATAGAGCACTTGCCTAGCACATGTGAGGGGCTGGGTTGATTTCTGCCATATTTCTCCCAAACTGACCAGATAAGTTTTTGTTAGGTTAAACTCTCATAAAGAGTCATTCAGGTAATCAAGACASTTTTAAAGTGTAAGGAACTTATTTGGGGGAATTTTGCTCATTTATGTTTCTGTGAGATTTGCTCTGTTTATGGCCCTGTTTCCTGTTTCTATACGCTGAAGGCAGTATAGAAAGCAAGACTAGATAGATTGTTAAGACAAGAAACTGCTACCTTCCAGGAATAAAAATACTGAATCTTTGTGGAAGTTGACGAGAGTATTTATTTATTGCCCAGTGAAGGGCAAAAGGACTTATGATGCAGGATATGTAGATTCTGCAAGGTCTGAGCCGAGCCCTGAAGGAGAGGCTCTGGGTCAAGGTTGTGAGGTCAGTGATTGTGATATGGTGGCATGAAAAAGGACAAGGGGGCAGGGAATGTATAGGATGTTCCCCTTGGAGGATGATGACGGAGAAGCAAAAGCAGCTCACAGTCAACATGAGAGGAAAAGCTTTCATTTGCCCCTGCAGGGCAGGCCTTGACTTGATGTTCACTAACTCATCGCTGAAGAAACAGAGACTGCCATGTATAACTAGAAGGGCACAGCACATCAGAAGGAAGCCTGTCTTCATGGAGAAAAATAGCAAGTGACCTGAAGGCCTTCCAGGGCTCAAACTCCCTTGTTTAAATCACGTGGGTCTATCCTGGAAAGGGTTTCTATGTCAGTAACCTTGAATCTAAGGGATAGATGAGCATATTTTTCTTTTTTCCAGTTGAAAGAGGAGATTTTTATAAGGAAAATAAAATGTGCATTGAAAAAAGCTGACCCTACAAATGTTGTGAAGAAAAAGGATGTGTTGTCTTGGATGGTGGTTAGAAGACTATTCAAGTGGAGGTGGAAGAAGAGGGGCAATATAAAACTGAGTAATTAGGGCATGGTGGGGATGCAAAGAACCATAGTGCAAGAACTCCCGGGGTAAGCCCACTCCAAATAATGGGTAAAAGATAAAGCCTAACACTTTTGACTTCTAAAGCAGAGTACAACACATTCCTAGTATAGAGGAAACATATTTTTAGAAAGAATTTGGGATTAGCTGCCCTAGTTTCCCCAAAGGGACTATATCCAAATAACGAGAAATAGGTACATTTTTTTTCTTTTACTCTAAAGAGATAAACAGGTATAGAAAGACTCATGTTTTGGAGGTAGTTGTGCTAAGATAGTTTCCTATTGCCACTGTGTTTTAGTCCGCCTTTTCACTGCTGTGACTAAAAGACCTGGCCAGAACAACTGTAGAGAAGGAAACGTTTATTTGCAGGTTCATGGTTTCAGAGGTCTCAATCCATGGACAGCTAGTTCCATTCCTTGGGGTTTGAGGTGTGGCAGAACAACATGGCAGAAGAGTTTACAGGGGGAAGCAGCTCTCATGTTGATCAGAAGGCAGAGAGAGAGGCTTCGCTAACCAGATACAAAATATATACCCAAAGCCACACCTCCGTTCCCACCTTCTCCAGCCACACCTCACCTGCCTTCAGCCACCATCCAATTAATCCCATCAAGGGATTAATTCATTGATTGGATTTTAGTGGGGTTAAGATTATCATGACCCCGTCATTTTTCCTCTAAACCTTTTTCATTGTCTCACACGTGAGCTTTATGGGGACACTTCACATTTGAGCTATAACACACTATAACAGCAACCACAAACTTAGTGGCTTTGAGCAACAAAATTTTCTTATCTTCTTATTAACGTAGAATAGAAGTGTGGTTCTCATTGGGCAAAACTCAGGATTGCCAGACAGTAATTCTTTTGGGAGGATCTAAGGAACCATTCATTTTCTTTTCTTATAGTTTTAAGGACCACTTGCATATTACTTGGCTCATGGTCCACTTCTTTCCTCTTCAAGGTCAACTGCACAGCGTCTCCAGGTCTCTAACTCTGGCTCTTTTGCCTCTTTCATGTATGATGATCCCTGAGTTTGCATTGGCCCTTATGTATGTCCAGGATAATTCCTCATCTCAATGTCCTTAATTCAATTGTATCTGCAAAGTTTCTTCAATCATTACACAGTTCATAGGGTCCAGAAAATTGGGATATGGACACATTTAGGGGGTTGCATTCTGCTTACCACACATGTGTAGAAGAGACAGATTCAAAAAGCAGTGTGATGCATCAATGTATAGCAGCTCAATTCATAATGACTAAACTATGAAACCAAACTAGATGCCCTTCAACAGATGAATTAATAAAGAAAATTTGGAATATATACACAATGGAATATTACTCAGCCTTAAAGAATGAAATTATGGCATTTGCTGGTAAATGGATGGAGCTAGAAAATATCATGCTAAGCAAAATAAGCCAATCCTAAAGAACCAAAGGCTCAATGTTTTCTCTGATAATCAGATGCTATTTCACGATAAGGGTATGGGGGAGTAAGAAAGAATAGAAGTACTTTGGATTAGACAGAAGGGAGTGAAAGGAGGTGAGGGGGTATGGGGAGAGAAAGGATAATAGAATGAATTGGACATTATGACCCTATATGCGTATATGGTTACATGACCTGTGTAACTCTACATCACAACCAGGAGACTGAGAAGTTATAATCCATTTATGTATAATGTGTCAAAATGCATTCTACTGTCATGTATAACTAATTAGAACAAATAAAAATATTTTAAAAAGTAGAAAAAATGGAATTCAAACTAAAAACAAACAAAAAGCAGTGTGATGGCTAAGCTCCGTATAAGAAGGTAAAAACCAGAAATATAAGATCATGTTTCTTTATTGAAAACAAAAGAAATGAAACACAGAAGGGCTATAGTTGTGTGAGTATACACATCCTGATCAGATATACATTACAAATGATGATTTCATGATTAAATTTATAAATCAGAAATGAGGGGTAAGATAAAATAGGGATAAAGACATTATAAGGAATCAACTGAATCCATATACAGCTAAAAATAAGAATCTGAGAAAGTGACCTCATTTTCTTATGGGCTTATATTATCCAGAGAAAGTAGTAGAGAGCACAATTAGCCTACGTTTTAAGAAAATAAATTTTAATACATTTTGAAGAAAATGACCTTTGATGTACAAGCCCACCAAGAGAGATCTAAGAAGTTCTAAAAGTTAATTTTGTATGGAATCCAATATTAGGCATGCTTCTTCAGAGAACCAGAACCACTCTGATATGTGTACAAATAGAAAGTGATCTATTATAATAAACTGGTTCACATGATTATGGAAGCTGAGGAATTCCAAAATCTTGGTAAACAGGAAACTAATGATATTGCTCCAGTCCAAGACCAAAGGTCTGAGAAACCAGAAAATCAATAGTGTAAGTTCTAGTCTGAGTCCAAGTCCGAAGGCAGGAGAAAATCAATGCCTCAGCTCAAATTCAGCCAGGCAGAGAAAGCTAATGTTCCCTTCCTCAGCCTTTTGTTCTGCAGGCCTTCAGCAGATTGGATGGGGCTCAATTCCATTGAAGAGGACAACTCTGCTTTACCCAACCTACCAATTCCAATATAGGTCTCCTCCAGAAACACCCTAACAGACACACCCCAAATAGTGTTTAACCAAATATATGGGCATCCCTTCTGCATGACTAGAGAATATTCCCAGTTGAGTTTAGATTATAAATTAACACAAAGGAAAGATGAAAGAAGGACACATAGTAAAGTTAACACCAAAAATAGAAAATGAAATATTGTCATGGGAAGATACAAGCCAGATGGAGTTAAGGGTCATTGAGCAACTTCATGGTTGGGCAAAGCAGTCAGGAAGACTGAATCATCCCTCAGCAGCAGTACCAAGGTTAGACCCCTAGGGCATCTGACCCAAACTGAAGGACATAGCTAACATTTGGAATCTGAGTAGTTGGTATTCAGTATCTAAATCACCTGGGGTCCAGGCAATTTTATTTCAGGCATTAAAAATTGGTGACTCATTTTCCTCTTTTTTGCCC